CACTGTGATCTGGCGCTTGCTAGTGAGGCGAGGAAGAGGAGAAGGAGAGGGATCCTCTTCTAAAATCTACTGTAACCACCCTGACCTGACAGGTTGGGAACAAAGAGTGTTCTCCACTCTGGTGGTAAACGCCGGTAACGACTCCGCTGCGTAAGAAACGCATAAGCCCTAAGAGAAAAAAACATCACCGCGTAAGCGAAAACATTGGTAGCGCAAGCATTGCGGAAGCCGACGCGTAAGCAAAGAAGGGTAATAAGGCCAAGACTAAAGGGCTTGGCCCACCGCCAATATGTCTTCAATGCAGGTTGATAGTAGTTCCCGGGTTTTCAATACCAAGTTTCCTGACATGAAACGCAGTGGCCAGGAGGTTCCACATCCTGAAAGCTAACACCAATGAATAACGAATAATTCAGGTTTCCCATGAAATTTGTTCTTGGCACTGTTTCAGCCAATGGACAACAAACACGTCGGCAACGCTACCCTTGATTTGAGACGCGGCGTAGTATATGTTATGGGCCCAGTAGTTAGCAACAAAAATTGAAACTCATATTGAAGGAAACCAAGGGTTTTCGTCAAAAAACAAAGTATCCACTTCATTGAATTCTTCTAAGAATTAAAACATTCTGATGGACATGCCACAAGGCAAACCTTCTACTTTTGGAACACTCTCTTTCGACCAGAACAACATGATCGGGGCCTCACTGTAGATCAAGGTGTTAACTTGTTGGAGTGGCTGGCCCACATGATGTGGCCAGAATATCAAAAACCATTTCTGGGTTTGGTGGAGCGCCAAACCAGGGGTTTGGCAAGGCAAATGCACATTCGCTCCAGTTGGGTTTTTGCGTGGCAAATCACAGACGCAGTGATGTCTACTGCAGGCACAAACTCCCAAGTTGCGCGCGCAATTCGCGCATTGCTTCTGCTGCAACCGTTCTTCGACCTGCCAAGCCTTCACTAATTCACTAAGGTGGTGGCAACATCACGCCAAAAGACATTGCAAGTGGACTAATTGGATCTGCGCAGACCCAAGATTAGCTCCTCTCAAGGATTTGATTTGAAATGTGGTGACTCCTCCAAGCATAGTGGGCCTCGCAAAGATGGCCGGGAGAAAGCATATGGACATGGCTGGTCCAGTGGATCTCCCTCGCAGGTTTGCCAAGACGAACACAGTTCCTTTCCTTGTTCAGAAATTATGCCAGGGTTTTGCGTGAGTCGAGTCTGAGTCGAGGGCAACGCCGTCGTGTTTTCAAAGTCGTATACTTTGCAAAATTTCACAATGAAGGAAGCAGTCACAAAGAAGAGGCCCACATTTTCGAACAAGTCCAAGAAGTCTGCCTGCAAGACTTCTAAGTCATAACATGTTTGTAATGTTTGTGCAATGAAGGTTTCTACCAAAAAGTGGATGGCAGAGTTTTGTGGCGTTGCGACTTATGAACATAGCATGCCTCGCTGGCCTGAAAAACATTCAGAGTTCGCACCTGTTTGAGCACGACAGCCGTGGTGTGTGTGTGCGTTGCTTTCCTCGCCGTATACCTTCGATACGTCATTCCTAATTGCAAATGCATTTGTATCAATTTTCCGGCATCTTTACATCTGGTATTAACGCAGACAGGCTATCATTTGCGTCTATGCTTCTAGCCGCGTCTACCATCTTAACGCCTCTTTCATAACGCAAGGAGACCAAACTGAATCAGCAATAACGACGCCACAACTCCCAACAGATCTTTATAATGCCTCAACTCCACCCTTTATGGCGCCCCGCTCTCTTTACAGTATGGAATACCACGCTTTCTTTACAAAATTGCACAAACGCAAGCACAAGCTTGCCAAGCAACCTTTTACGCGATGAGATTTTGGCATACTGTAAGATCAACCACAGAGAAATGCAATGCGGTTGGCTCTATGTTTATAAGGTTATTTGTTTTGGAAAGCTCTAGCTACCTCCAGCTAAAAGTTACAGTATTTCTAACATACGTTCACTAGAACCTTCTCTTAAACACTCAATTCACATAATCAATTATAGTAGTATCCTTGTTGACATTCAGTTATTTGTTGACCCAAGGGCCTAAGGGTATAATGGTCGATTAATTCCCTTCAGATCTATAGCAATTGCTTAAAGCAGCAAGTTATATATTTAAGTTGGTCTACTGAGTCTACTGTGGGACCCAATGGCCCAATCGTGGATTAAATGGAGAAAAGGATCAACTGCTGCAACATATCGCCTGTGGACTTGTTGGTCGGTTTGTCACGGCCTCAAAAAGTTTACCGTAGTCTTGCGCAACATACATGTTGCAAGAAGAGTGTGAAACCGGCTGCGGGGAGGGGTCTCTACGCAGCTGCTCAAAGGGTTGGATGATGCGCAATGGGGTTCTACAACCCGTTGACTGAGAAAGCCATTTGGACATCCTCGTGCCAATTTCCACTACCAAATGGGTGGGGTCAAGGCCACTACAAAACACAAGACCAGTGCATTTTGTATAAATGGACATTTTGGATGTCCACGCATTCTTTAGTAAGATGCTGCGGTTTTGCGCCCCAGACTTCAGGCAGAACATTTTGTAGAGGGATGTTGGTAGGCGTCATTTGGGATGACTCTGAACCTCAGGCAATTCATTTTGTAGAGAGCCGCTTGATCAGAAAGAGAAGTTGTGCATTTCATTTTGTAGTGACTAACTTATGCAGCCAAATTTGTGGCGCGAACAAGGAACAAAGGACATGATAGATATGCTGCCAATTGCTAGCGTAGATCTTAATTCAGGAAAATACTACAGTGCTGGCCATTTGTCATTGATGTGTACGGATATTCGGACTTGTCCGGCCAGCTGGGTGGTACAGAATGCACATTATAGACAAGCTTAGTGACTCACCAGGAAGGCAGACTTGAAACCCTTGATTCAGTGTGTTCGCTGAGAGATGTGACTAACGTTCAAAGATCCTCCAAGCGAACATTGTTTTATGAGTTATTGTGTCCGCAGCTGCACTGCTCAAAGGGGCTTATGGAGGCTCCAGAGGCCGCCCCAGCTGCAGGTAGAAAGGTGCTCAACTCAGAAATTACCGCCATCGATGACGGTGTTTTCTGCGAAACCTTTTTGTTGACCATAGTCACGCTGCAAATCTTTTGCCGTTCGTTTTGAGCTGAAATTTTGGAAACAATGTTTTTCCACCCCGATACGAGTGGAGCAGCACAACAACAACTGACAATACACAAGGTTGAACCACCACGACAGACCATGACACCCATAGTGGCAACACCAAAGCGCACACATGATACTTGACAACAAACAAGGACCAGCACTACGGCAGACAAAAGACGCTGACACCTAAAATTGCAGTTCCAAACGTAACCACAACTCACAGCAGGTCACTGTACACAAAGACACGACAACAGATTATGACACACACACACGCAAAATGGCAGCACCAATTACAACCACAGCACGCACATACTTGACAACACAGCCAGACAGACACTACAGCAGACAACGACACGCGCAATGGCAAGATTAAACGTAATGGTGACCCAGAGATGCCACCAATGGCCCCAGTCGCCCGGTCACGCCGAGTGATTTGTCCCACAGGTGTTTCTCGCCAGACGAGGCTCTTAACATCACCGCATAAATGTTCATACTAGGGCACACCTGGGCTGGGCGGGGTGGTTCCAAGTCAAGCAGTTTGCGCTGCATGCCAACTAATTGTTTTTGTCAACTGTTCATTTACGGTACTTATGCTTTTGAGAACTGATGTGCTTTCTAGTTGCCAAACACAATAACATGTGTTTTTCAATTACATTTGGTGTGTGTAAAAAGTATTGGATCATCAAGGGGTTGCTAGAGCAAAAATGCATGTCAAATTATATCAAATCGAGGTACTCCTGTTTGGATGGGGTGCTGCTGCTGAGCAAGTGCTCAAAGAGTTGTCTCCCGGCGGCATGGAGTTGGAAGCGTTACAGTAAGAATAAGCATTGTAGGTTGCAAAATAAATGTCCATGATAGTCATGTGATGTTGTTTGTGACCACATTTTCTCTCCTAAACTCCTAAACATCGTTTCCTTTTTTTTGCCATGTTGGAACTTCGGTTTCATGGCTTTCTGGACATGCTCTCAAGCAGATAGCAGAAATTAGCAGAATGCAGGCCAGAGAGACTAGAGAGACACAACAGTCCAGATGTTGTACTGTTCACAGAGATTGCTAGATTGATGCAGCCAGGCTTTGATGAAGTGACAATCATGCAATTGGATCCAATCTTTGAAACAACCTTTTTCAACTGAATCGTTCGGGAACAGCTCTTCCTGAACCTGCTTGCAGCAGGAACCTTGGGGGGGTGGCATCTCGACTGAGGTCCAGATTTGTTGCCAAGGTGTGGTGTGACAGAGACGGAAGCCACAGACGCGTGAACCGTATCAATCCTGCTGTCCTTTCGTCTTCAAATGCTTGGATTGACATGAATCCATCAGAAGCTATGTTGGGCATCCAGGCAGAGGAAAGCTCGCCAATCGTGGTTTGCTGTATTTCACAGACGTCCCAAGCGAAGGATTGCGCTTGGAGCCGAGCAGTTTGAACAAGAGACTCCAGAGTGACACCAAGTGAACTTAGACTCCAGAGACATGAAGTGAACTCAGCGTCAGACGTGCCTTGCCGTGCCAAAGGATTTGCAAGACGTTTGTGCATCTTTGGGCTTCGAATGCGTCAGCCGCCTGTTTGGGTTGTCTCGAAAGAGCAATGTTTTGCTACGAAGCTCATCATTTTCTCCAGCAATTGTTCTGGAACCATTTGGCCGGATGACACTATATAACACTCCACGAAGAGAGAGGACCATGTGTTTTATGCTTGCGATTGAGAACTGTTGATACTTTATTTGTTTGGCTTGCTGCAGCTGTTTGTCACATGACGCTCACTTGTGATGGATAATTTGGTACATCAGTTTGCTGGCTAGTCTTGCAACAAACATAAATAAAGCTGGCAGGGCGACCTAGGTTCCGCAGAAGTTTATCTATACTAAGCTGAAATTCCTAGCTGTGGTTTTGGATAAACTGGATTTGACAGTACACAGCAGTCAACATTTCTGCCTTGAGCGCTCTTGGCACCAATGTATACCCCGCAGGTGCTGTTAGACAGCAATGCTGAAATATTGAAGCCGCTTTGATGCAGACCGTGATCATGTGGGATTGTACAGAACCCCCCGCGCCACACAAGTGTAAGATTATTTAAGAAGGCAGCTCTCTATGTTCCAGAATAGTTTCAGCCTGACAAGAAAATACATATCATACAATACCGTATATGTTCACTATTTCCCTTGGCTGTTACTGTTAGCTGCTAGCTTGTTCTTTTTCTTGAGTGCAGTATATAAGAACCATGGCCCCAAACTCGAGTTCTTTTTTTCAGGTCTTCAGAGCTATAGCAGCACCATCAGTTGTTTACAAACGTCAAAATTGAAATTGACATCATTTGTCCAAATTGAAGTTAACGTGGCATCATGTTTGCAAAGATGTAGTCGTACTGTTCTCTTCGTGTGCAGTTATTGATGCTGCAATATGTTCCGTAAGGTACACATTGGATCAAGAAGCCCTCCCAATTAGTTTGTTGGGCCAGTGGCTGCAATAACAAACGCCTTTCAATAAAACTTCTAGCCCACACTGGAACATATTGGACATATTATCCCCCAATTATATAGTTTGGTATATATATATAGTTTGGTCCACCTTTCTTGGTGCCAAATTTTGCTCCTGCTGGCTCCTGGTTGGCTCATGCCTTGGTCATCGCCGCGATCGCCCATTCAATGAAACTCATAGTGAAACTCTGTGGCCAAATTGGTGGATATGTGCAGCACGCGCACACACACACACTTATAGAAATGCGTACTGATGTGAAAGCGGTTTGCCACACGCCGGCCTGAGTTAAAAAACCTGAGATACCAGGAGGACAAGTAGTAAGTTAAAGGCCATCGCCTTTAGGTTGGAGGCCATCGCAAGGAAGTTGGAGGGCAACACCTAAGGTTGGAGGCCGTCGCTAGTAGGTGGGATGGGAGGTAGTATGCACAAGCAAAGCAAAAGTGACACGTATATAGTAAGTTAAAGGCCATCGCTTTTAGTATGCGCAAGCAAAACAAAAGTGACAAGTAGCGAATTAAAGGCCACCGCTTTTTGGTTGGAGGTCATCGCAAGGAAGTTGGAGGCCAACGCCTAAGGTTGGAGGCCGTCGCTGGTAGGTGGGAGGTAGTATGCACAAGCAAAACAAAAGTGACAAGTATAGTAAGTTAAAGGCCATCGCTTTTAGTATGCACAAGCAAAACAAAAGCGACAGCGAGCAGATGCGAGCAGCACGGTTGGAGGTCGTCGCTAGTGGGTTGGAGGCCATAGTACCAGGTTGGAGGCCAGCGCTACAAGTTTACAAGAAACACAAGACACACAAGACAGCCAAGGTTAGAGGCCAATGCTAGTGGGTGGAGGCCAAAGTATTCAGGTTGAAGGACCACATTACAAGTTTGGAGGCCTACCTGCAAACCTATAAGTTAGAAGAGAGGAAAAACAGAAGGAAAGGCACCGACACACAGTGTGTCGAGTACCATTTCCTTCTGTTTTCCTAAATAGTGGAGCAGGTACACAGAGCTGATCAGGCTCTGCATCCCCCTCTTGTCCACAGCTTCATTGCGTGTGGTAGGACAAGAGGGCCACACGCCCCTGCTCCAAACCGAAAGGTTCCCTGTGAGTCCAAGGGTTACACACTCATGGATATGCGTACGGACTTGACAGCGGTGCCACACGCCGGCCTAGGGTACCATTTCCTAAGGGTACACGTACGAACCCCTGGATCCTGGAGGTCTTCAAAAGGAATTGTGGCCCAAAGCGTAAGCCGGAAGCGAAGCGACAAATGGCGGCGTGACGTGCAAGTCTGCAGAATGCAAAACTCAACGAAAATTAAAATTCAAGCAGGTACAGGTGGATGATCAGTCCACCCCTCCCCCGTCATACCGTAGCTTCGTTGCGTACGGTGGGTACGACGAGCCGTACGCCCCTGCTTAAATCAAAACGAAACAATTCAAAAGAATCCCTGTGACTACAAGGGGCACACACACACACACGCCTCCCCGAGGGGAGACGAAAAGCTAAGGTGAGGGCCAATGTGCACGTGTGCGCGCACAAGAGAGAAAAGAATGAAGACATGACAGGCGACGAGACGGGACAAAGGTGCGTGTGGTTGAAATGAAAGGGGAACCAAGTGCACAGGGACACCCGATGAAGCCCACCTCATTATAAAGACCTGGGCGACCTGAAACCTGTGTCTAAAGGTATGTAGAAGTGCGCGTACACACTAAGGCCGGGACCAATGTGCGCGCAACCGAAGAAAAGGATGAGATGAACGGACATGAAGACAGGAGGACATGAAAGAAAAGAGGGAAAAAAAAGGTGTGTGAAGGGGAAGGGATGAAAGGGGAACCAAATGGAGGGGACGAGAACCGATGAAGCGCCAAACCTCATTACAACGACTTAGGAAACCTGCCTCGTTTCGATGTACACGCTGTATGTGCACCCAAGGTCGCGACAGGTTCCAATGAACCTCAAAAGTACTTCGGTCGCTCTGACCACGTTGAGGCGTTAAGCCAGCTTGGACCGCTGCGGTCACGTAAAGGCGTAAGCCAACTTGGAATTCCAAAAGTGAGACAAAAATCTGAGTTCTTGTGGCATGAAGGTGGGAGGGGGTGCGTGGAAGTGCAAGGCAACACAAGCGTGGAAATGAATCGATTTCAAGTGGTTGGAGTTTCCGTGCAGCCCGGTGGCGTAGGTGGCAGTTAATACAGCGGTGAAACAAAGTCCGTGAAGAGAATCCAAGGTATGGTGGAAGCGGTGAGATCAGTTACACGAATTCCGGAATGAGAACGGCGCCTCCTTGCGGAGGATCACACCCAGCACCCAAGTGGGACGACTGAGCGAGTCACACTCTGATATTGGTTTTCAGTTAACTCAATTCCCAGGAGAAATGGCGATGGAACCGAAAGGTGAAAGAGTCGGCGCAACTGAATTGTTTAAAAAACTGTTCACTCATCTGCAGAACACGGCTGAACGACGGCGGCTGAAAGCAGCTGTGGGAAACCTGTTTGAGGGGAAAGTATCGTGAGCAACAACCATGGCACCAAAACGAAGCAAGGAAGAGTGAGGTAGTGTCACGGCGCAGGTACGTCATCAGGCGTCCCTGATGATATCCTAGGAGCACGTGAGGAGCTTCGTTGGATGGAGCCTCACGTGTCCTCTCCATCCCCCTGCGTTGAATGGGGTGAACAGGTAACGAAACTCTTAGTTACAGAGGTTGACGCACACACACACACACACCCCTCAGATCCCCTCAGCATTCTTTTCGATCAGAATCCCAAAGCCACTGGCAGAAAATCATTTATTAAATTCTCTTTAAAGCCGTGCCCAACACACTAAAGGGGGCCCCCGACGATCCCTCAATTCACAACTTCCCCAACAAAATTGGTCTCCTGGGTGGTGAAAAAATATCCACCGCCCAATAAACTTCCCATGAACCCCATGAACCTCTATATATTGTCCTTTCCAATAAGCTCATCCCAATCTTATGCTGCTTTCAAGTGAAGGGATTTAGTCGTTGGGGCCTTTCTTAATGAAGAGATTTTGTCTTGGTGACCTCTCCTGATTGACCACCCCCAATTCAAAAAAAAACTTTTTGCTCCCCCAATACCAAATCTTCACGGAAGTTATTTATCCGGTGTCGACATGTGTGTTGGGCAGTTGAAACAACAAATTTGCAGCTGAGGGTCGCCAGTGGTTTCCGACCAGACTTGATAGTCTCTGCGCCCTAGACTTAGCAGGTGCTTCTCAAACTGGAATGATCAATCATGCAGATTGGCCAAGGTCCTACCGGAAAAAAATTACTGCAAGCGTGCCGGAATCTCGTTGCATGAGCTGGGTAGGGTGATGTTCAATGAAACCTAATTTCAAACAATATGTTTTTGGCTAATAGTGCGACAAAGGTCGGCTGCCCTGCATATTCCAATTTCGGGGCTAAGGTTGAATTTGTGCCCTGATTGTGTAAACTTTCATCCCTCGTTGCTGCCCAAACACCGTGGCTGCTGGCACTTTGCTCAGCTGCCATCAATAAAGGAGCAATCGGCAAAGTTGTTAGCTCTTTTAGAGTTGCAGTAGGTATTGGAGGCTAGCCTTAGCATTTGTGCAAAGCTTGCTCGGAGGTCTGGTTTTTGGTGCATTTTTGATGGTGACACAGAGACCGGGGTGACCTGCCATCGAATGGTGGAGGCAAATTGTTCGAGTTGTTTAGCGAAGAGAGCACCTGCAAAGCTGCCAAGATGGCAAGGACTTTGATGCGGGCCTCATTCTGCAACAGGAGCGGCTCCAAGTAGCCACTCGTCATCCAATATTGTCGGCCAATGGCCACCTCAAAACGAAGCAGCCTTTTCCCACCTGCCAACATCCACGCAGTTGAGGAATCAACTGACACGTCATTTTCAGCTGGGGCTGGCCTGTTTGATGTTGCCAAGGGGTTTTAAGGATTCGCCTTGGTTGATGCCCTTTTGACATGTTGGTTATGCAGTTTAGCTAGAGTTGATGGGAATAGACCATAAAAGACCTAATTTTGACTAACTGACTAACAAGTGTCAACAAATGTGCTGGGAAGGAACCAAGAATCATGAATTAACCACAGCCCACACCCGTCAATTCCTTCTGAAAACCAGGTGTACAAGAAGCTCTTGCCTGTCACAGCCAACTGTGCACGTGCAGTGTAGTGGTCTCAAAGCCCATGAAACAGCCTTGAGTTGGAAGGTTGGAAGTATGTTTTAGTTCATTCAGCATCTCAAAGCTTCCTTGTTTCCTTCAGACTGCTTCAGAGTCCTTCAGCTTGAGGTTCTCCCACTACTTTTCTTCCACTGGCTTGCCACCAGGTACCTTGAACAGCACTGACATGTATTGCCAACCGGTCGCTGTTGCATCAGCGAAACCCGTTTTCATTTGACAAGATTGCAGGTGAAGTACAAAGAGGGGAGAGCTCTTATCACTACAGGACCAACCATATGCAACCCCCTAAGCCCCAGTCGTTCTATGCTATGCTTTGCTTTCTCTGACAGGAAGCTACCATTCGAAGGTCTTATTCAACCAGAATGGTCCGAGGAGCAGGCCAGGCTTCACTGGGATTTGCAATCTCAAGGGGTTGAAGAAGGGAAGGCGCTGGAGGGGTCTCATTCCATGCCAGTTCTCAGGTTGAGCGCTTCATCCGGGCAATGTACTTCCCTCCATTCGATGGCGCGGCATTGCTGGTGAATGGCCGGCCCATGCCTGTGGAGTCGTTGGAGGTGGATAGTGGGCGTGCTTTCACTAGAACAGCACCAAATGGGTGGCTCCATGTGTGGATCATTCATGTATCTAACTATACAGAAGGGGTGCTCCCAGGGATATAATTTGCATATTGCACACATAAAACACTGAAACATACAATATGTTTAAGCATTTGCAAGGCAATTGTTACATCGCTACCAACACCCACTCTCTAATTAATTATATAGTAGTTAGTAGTTAGTAGTTATATATATCTACAAATATATATATATACACGATATATATATATATATATATATATTAATTATTTGTATATATATATATAATGTTGTAAGTGTGTCTCGACACAAAGCTGGCCTCCAGTGAACAAGTTTTAGAGTTGTATACAAGAGCTGCTTGCCTTCACCATCATAGAGAGTTTGAACAGCACCACAACCATGCCTTTTTGCAATCAATGCTGGAAGTAGTTTGGTGGTTGGAGCCATGCAGGCGTATCGTTGTTTGCAGCGCAGCAGTGCGGCATCGCCAATGGTCGTGTCTTTGTTGCACCAGTTAGATCTAAGCTCGCCACAATGGAAGAATCACTTAAAGAGAGAGAGAGAGAGAGCTTGATTTTGCGTGCTTTTCATTCCTGCTTTCTTTTGGTCATGTTTAATGGTTTTACAGCGGTTGAGGAGCCGCATTCCTGCGCTCCAACGCAGGATCATAGCGGTGAACTTAGACTATATTGATATTTCAGCGGGTTGCTGCTGCTGTGCCTTGATCTGGGAACTCTGTATAACGGTTTCGCATTGATGACAGTGCCCGTCAGATTTCATGACCACCCTGAGCAGCATCCCTGTTTTGCCACGGGTGCAGGTGTCGTATTGCCTTGCTGAAGAGTCTGGCAAGGAAAAAGAGACCGAAATCCATGACCTCCTTTTTCGCCCGCTCTCCTAATAGCAATGGCCTCAATATGGCCTCCAACCTATAGCCATGGCTTCCAACCTAATAGGCCGAAATCTATGACTTGATGTTTGTGCATGTTTGTGCAAAGTTGTGTCCTTGGCCACACCCTCTAGCAACACCAATTGCAAAGAGAATGCTGAGAATGAGTGACTCAGAGAGCGGTTGCTTTGTTTTCATTGCATCATTTTGAGCCTTGCGGATCAAACCACTGGATTTTAGTTGTGGGCAGCTGGCAGCTGACAGGTATGTAAATTTGGCGAGTTTGAACAATTGAACGTCAGCAGTGGCCAAAAAACTGTCCTGCAAATTTGCAACCCAGGCTCACCATTCCCTAAGTTTGTTCTTGTCAGAAGAAGGAGCCAAGCCATCAGCGAGCTGGCTTCGAAGTGTACCACAAGCACGTTTGCCAAAGAAGATGTTTGGCGTCGCCGGTTGGCAGTGGAGGATTTGACTTTCAAGACCATGCATTGACCAATGGCGTGACGAACATTCTGGCCTTTACATGGGCAGGCCTGCTTCGGGCGGGTTGATACTGTTACCGACCTTTGGAGTGAAAGGACGCTACTAGGAGCAAGAAGGACGCTACTAGGGGCTCCTGGCCTTACTACTAGGAGCAAGAAGCTACTAGGAGCAAAGGGCATCACTACTAGGGGCAACAAGCTACTAGGGGCTCCTGGCAGGCCTTGCTAGTCGGAGTTGCAGTATGTTGCAGTAGCAAAGTGAAGTCATGTTGTTGCATGAGTGTTGGTGTGAGTATTGACCTTAGTGTGGCTGAAGACTGCCAAACTTGGCAAAATACTGTGCGTCATGGTTTGCGCACTATAAGATCAATAGTATGGACACTTAAACACGGTTGACTTCAGAGCTTGTAGTAGTCATCAGAATTGACATCTGGAGCTGGCGAGGTGCCAACGCACTGAGCGATCGTGTCTCTGCTGATGGTTCTCTAAAGCTGGGCTTCAAGTGTCTATGAACAACAACATGAGGTCTAATCACTGCATCACAAAAGAGAGGAGGAGGGGTGGTGGAGGCAGCCAAGATTCTGCGATCATTCGCAACATGGTTGAATCATGTTGACTCCATGGATCTGCAGAGACGCACCGCTGCTTTTTCAGCGGGGCACACCTGTCTTTGATGATGGCCTCATGGCCAAGGTCTATCGGAGGCACTTCGGTCAACTCCAAGGATCTTGTAGTAGTCATCAGAATTGACATCTGGAGCTGGCGAGGTGCCAACGCACTGAGCGATCGTGTCTCTGCTGATGGTTCTCTAAAGCTGGGCTTCAAGTGTCTATGAACAACAACATGAGGTCTAATCACTGCATCACAAAACATCCCAACATTTCCAAACCGACCAGTGCGAAAGGATTCCAATCAGTGCGGCGGATTGCGGGGCGGCACTTGAGCACGTGGCCAGTGTTGGCCGAGTAAGGGACTTACAATTGTGCCAACAATGATACAAAGGAGATTCAAAGCAAGGGCGGTGAAACTATCACTGTGGGGCTGTACTTGAGTGGGAGGTGGCATGGTGTGCACTACGGGCACCGGCGTCTGTGGTTCCACAGCAGCTGTACCCACGGCTGAGTCTAGTTGAAATGAGAGTTCATCGAGCACAGCATCAAAGAGCACCGAGAGTGCACCCATGCTATAGCGGATCAGCAACTTAATGCTGACCGTGACTAGTTTCCTCAATACCACATACAGGCGGGGCCTAGTGAAAAAGACACTAAGTACAAAAATCACCAACAGGCTCCACCATACGCGTCCCCTGAGTTTGACCAGGGCCCACATGAACCAAGCTTTAAACTTAGAAAAGAAAGACTGGGGGTTGCCCCCACTGCTCGACGCTGCGAGAGCGTCTGTCAGGGGTTTGGGTCCTTCTTGACTTAAAGTTCGGGCAGCCACCATTCTTTTGGCAAACTGCTGAAACCTGGAGTCGCCTCTGTAACTCCGAGCTGCCTTCGCAAGATCAGCGGGTCCTATGTCTAGGTAGTGTGCGCCTTTCAGGCTGCCTCCTTCTATCACTTTCTTCTTGAAGTGCCGTTTCAGATCCTGAACGCTTTCCCCAATCTCTGCACTTTCGAGCGACATCGTTGAGCTGATCGATGGTGAGCGGCGGATGCAAAAACAAGTGCTGAGAGGGCAGTTTGAGGGCCAGAAATTGCGGCAAGGACAACAAGAAGGAAAACTGTTGAATCAAGCGGCCGATCCGATGCGAAGTCGCATCAGGGATCTGCAACAACAGTTGCTGGGCTCGGGCCACCTGTACGTAATGTTCTAAAGAACGCACATTCGACCAACGACCCTCGAACCGGAGCCTACCTATGTCACTGCGATGGCTGTCTACATGCCATGTTGCACCCCCCGCTCTCAAACTTGCGGGACTGAATCGGCAGTTAGTGAGTCTTAGCCTCTTGCAGCAATCTTGGAATAAGGCTCGGAACTTCTGTTGAGATCCAGGCCACAGAAACCTTTTTTTATTCTGATCGTTAATTGTTTACTAGCCACACTAACCCGTCTGTGATGTCCGGGTGTGCGACGTGCGACACTTGCATACTGCTGTCTACCCATCTGCCTGGCATTTTTGGGCTGGCACAATCGGATGATCGCGCGTTCGCTGCCTAGAGAGATGTCATTCGGCAGGCTTATGTCAGCAGGTTTCAGCTTGAACATTTCACCTGGCCTGAGCATTCCGAAGAAGCATAGGCCAGTTAGTGCAGCGAATGTCAGAAGTCTATCAGACATGACCGGGTCATCGATGGTCAGGCTCCACCGTCTGGCTTCACATATCAAAGCTATCAGAACTGCAACAGGAAGGGGCGGTCTGAAGTTGGCCGGTCGCAACTCCTCCCACGAGATCAAATTGTCCCATGTCTCAGGCAAATTGCGTCTCAATCTGGGCTGCCATATCTGCATGAAGAGTGTGGCATGCTTGGCAATGCGAAAAGCAGCAGCTCCCTCTGCCTGATGCATCGCTTTCACAAAATCTGTCAGCACAGCATCTATCTCGAGAGGGCTCTTGGCCGACAATTCGCTCCATCTCACTTCTCTTTGCTTCAAAAACCCCTGGAGGGCCTGTCCGGCCTCTAGCAGTCGACCTCGGTAAGCAGCGCTGTATCGGCTCCATCGCAGTTTTGAGATGCTCAAGTCAGCACCAAGGTCCATGGGGCGACATGCACTATAATGGTTCTGGAAAAACCAAAGGAACACAACATTCATACTTAAAAAACTAACGTGCAGCGGTGCTCAGAGCTCTGTTTACTCAAGTTTAGCATTGGAACATCTTCTCACAAATGCTGACATATCTCTCGCAAAGTGGTGCTGGGTATGATCCGGCAAGCGTGGATCTTTTGACCCACTTGCCCTTGTACTTGACTCCCCCAATCACTGCGACATGTGCATGATTCTGGCAACAGCGTTTTGCCAGCTTTTCGAGATCTGGAAGATTCCCTGCAAAAACCGTTGCCTTTTTAGCCAGCTTCAATGTGCCATCTACATCAGGGACCCTGAGATTGTAGCAGCACTGGTCTAGTCTAGCTTCAACTATCTCGACGTCTAGTTTTAGCCGTAAGTACGCCGGCATATTCCAGGCATACGAGGAAGCAGGGTTTTCAAGAGTGAAGAAAGAGCCATGCTGTGCTAGTATACTACACAAATGCAGTGTTCTGTGGAAGATTTCATTCCCAAGCTTCTCCCTTTTCAGACTCCCATCCCCTTCGGGTAGTTTGTCCTTACAGCGAGTCCCTTTGTTGAGGTGTTGTAGCTGACTGAAAGAACTGCATGGAAAACCAAAATGCCAAATGTGTTTCCCCCGCTTGGCCTCGTTACAGAGTCGGGCGAACACGATGTCTTCAAGGATGTTGTTATTGGGATCTACCTTTCCTTTTTGCATGATTTCAAATGGGGCAGAAACTTTCAAGAACTGCCTTCGTCTGAAACATTGGGTCAGGTGGCCGGACCCGGCAAAAATCTCTTTAAAAGACCATGCTTCAACTGCCGGATGCTTTTTCGGCTCGAAGGCGGGAGTCTTCTGAGCTTCGTCTGCCTGATCGTTGCCGTCAGTGACATCCTGTTTGACACTATGAACGACTTTCCATATGCTACGGTTGTCTCTATGCTGTAGTACTATGGGGATGTTATCTCCTAGGACCTTTCTAGTGGTGTCACTAGGCATCGCTGGGGGTGCCGGGATTGGACGACCGCGTGAAGGATGATCTGCCGGATTGGCTTCCGAGCGCACCCAAACTATGTGTGTGGACCTTTGCCCGACAATTGACCATCCCAAGCTGCGTCGCAAGAGTCTGTTCAGATGCTTGGACGACGAGCGTCCCTTGGCCCAGGCACCCGTGGCAGCACGAGAGTCAACGAGCAACACACATCTGAGAGGCTTACGGGATGAATGAACAATGTCCACTAACTCACGATATATCATTCGCATCTCCAAGATATTTATGTGCTGTTTGTGGGCAAAAGTACAGCTCTCAGTGCTTACCCAGGGGTGATCGGTCATCAAATCTTCAAGCTCCTCAGGGATGGGCTGCATTGTGCTTTCCGATGCCAAGTTTCCTGACTGCCAGTCTAGTCGGACATGTTCCCCTTTGTGTTCAGCCAAACAGTACAACGTCTGTGCTACTGAGGGCAACGTCAATGTGGCCGCTCTACCTCCTCCGGTCAGTGAAGCATCACTGCAACCCACTCGGCTGGAAACTTCCCACCGGATGTTGGCTTCTGCCACCGGTAAGCAAAGAGCGCACCACACGAGCTCCTCTTTTACGGCAGGGGGGGAGCTTGGCAGACTCGTGATCTTCAAGCGTTTCAATCCAAACAAAGGTTTCTTGTAACAAGCACATTAGGTTCCTACGATGCATGAATGGGTGGATGATTAGCCCTACCACTTGCTGCAACATCTTTTTGGAAACCGTTGCCAGTTCTAACACTTGAGTCAACACTTTCCCCAGCTGTCGGAGCTTGGCTAGAGGTGCCCCTACGCGACCAGAGGCGCTGTCCACCTCGGTGCCCCACGCAACAAAATTTCCTGCTTTGTTGAAGGACTTCTTCTTAGACGTTGGTGTACCCTCTTCTTGGTATTTAGCCCGACTGGCCTCTATAATGACCTCATCACGAAACCTAGCACCTTTTTCCCTCTTTTGCTTCTTTGGGATTACTTGAATGACGATGTGGTCATCTATATAGAGCCCTTCATAGCAGTGAGAAGCTGGTATTGGTTGTTTATAGGCCAGTACTTCACCCGGTCGCATGCAATGACAATCTTTCAGGATTTCGATGTGGACCTGTTGCGCGATATCGACCGCGTTCAAATCCCCCATGGCAATAACACAAAAGGACAACAGGTAACGACTACCTTTCCTTCCACCAAACTCCTCAAAACCTTCACCATCGAAGACCTCTCCTATAGCATTTCGGGGAAGCCAATTTTGGTTGTGCTTCAACAAGTAAAAGTAGTTGCTGAGGTCGTCGCCACTGCCACGAATGCTAAAATCCGGAGGGAGAATGATTTGGGTCAGCAGGGAACCATGAGGCAACTTCGCCCACACTAACCGGCGTTCTAACTGGTTGAAAGGCCGCCTATCCAAAATTATCCGGTCGCTATGCTCTTTGTGGTTGACGGCGAAGAGACCGCCTGTTATGATGCGGCCATCTTGGTCCTTGACTGCCAACTCAGAAGGAAGCAGCACGGCGACGCCCGAACGCAAAAGGTTTCTGTAGACCTGATTCAGGTCTTGGTCCTCTACCTTGAAACAGCCTTTTATCGGGGGTTGTTCAGAGTGGGTCATAGGAATGTCCTTGATCATACTTACAAACTGCTCCAAGTGAGGGCTTTTCAAAAACTGTCTCGGATCAATGGTCCCGGCTTGCTCTGGCAAAGACATCCTGTCGGGCTTGACAGGTTTTGCTGATTGCTGCAACTTTGCATCCAACTCTAAGCCATGATACGATGAGCTTTTAACCACAGCAATTAATTCACTTAATTTCAAGATGCCGCGACTAAGAGAGTCTTTATCTTCCCTAAGGCGGACAAATCTATTAATTTGCTTATGCAACAAGCCAGCATACTCCGAATGCATGGGTGTCCATGGCACGGCACGAGCTCGGGCGAGCAACTCTCTCTGATCAGCTCTTCGAAAAGGACACCCCCCCTCGAAAAAAGTAAACAATGCCCAAAGCACCTTTACCCATTCCCAAGCTTCCATGTGGCCTCGTCTTCGAGCACGTGACCGTGCGCTTCTAGGACACCGTATGACTTCCGGTGTCACCAGCAAAGACGGAAAAAGACTTGCACGTTCCTCCAATTTGAAGGATGTCCTAGGCCCCGACCCCTTTTCACAACCTTGGCTGATAGGGGACTCACTGTTTTTAATTAGTCTCAAGAAACGTCCAAAGGAACCCCAGCTCCCGTGGGCGCTTTTCAAGATAGGGTCATCAGAGAAAGGCTTCGCTTTCTGATGCAACTGCTGGAATTTGGCTGCTTTGTTCAACTCTCGGTCTTCTCGACCGACTCCTTGGCATCTTTGTGCTTGTTGCCCTTGCCCTTTCCTTTGGCTTTGGGCTTCTCCTCTTCCGGCTCGTCGCCTTGCCTCCCAGGTGCGCGCCGCTTCAGTGCCTCGGCGCTCTTTGAGAGATCTTGCGCGCTCCGGATGTATGCAGTGACGTCTTGCAGGCTCTTCGGATCTCCACCAAACTGCTTCTTTTCGTAAGGGTCTGGTGTGTGAGTCAACAGCCAGGCAACGGTCCAGTCGGAGTCCAGAGCTGCTTGGTGCAAAGCTTGGAGACAAAGCGTCGTTTGGAGGGCTGCGCGGTGATAATCTTCCGTCAGTAGCATTTCCAGCACTATGCCAAAGAGGTAATGGCAACGTTGCAAATTTCTCTGCTTGCCGAAGGGGATCCGCCGGGTGTAGTCGACCACCCTGAAAGGCTTGTCTTGGGCTCCTAGCTCCTGCTCGATGCCTTTGACATATCGTCTGACATACTTCAGGGGCTTGCGGAACATTCGTCGCTTTGTGGCTTGAAGGTTTGACACCGCCTTGGCGTGCCCACGGCCCCGAGAGTGGGTGGAACCTGTTGAGTTGGAGGAGTCGCTGCCGCTCGAGATGCTCCTGCTGTTGGAGGAGCTGCTTGACTGGTGCCTTCTGCTCTTCTTTTTCTTTTCTTTCTTGGCTAGGCTCTGAGCGAGCTGTACTGCCAAGAGACCCGTCAAGGGCTCTTTGGTGCCAGCTAGCATGCGAACGATGTCTAGTTGCTTGAGCTGGTCCTCGTCCTCGTCCCTCTTTTTTCGGGTCTTCTCGATGAGTGCAAATCGCTTGGACTTCTTTTTGTCTCGCTTGCTTTCCTGGTCTTTGGCTTCTCCTCCATCTGTACCACTGCCTAGCCAATTCTGCCGCATCTTGGCGACCAGATCGTCCACCCCGTCTCCTTGAAGGCTGTCGGATAGCTCCGAGTCGGATGATTCGACGGTCTTCTTGAGAGGTTTTCTTTTGGCCGGCGCAGGAGGCTCTGAAGCTGTAGCATAGGCAAGGTCCTCGTCCGCGCTGAGCAGATCCTGACCGGCCCGAATCAGTGCTTTGCGATCCGTCTCCAGCTTCAGAGTGGTTGTCACATCTGAGGGGGGTCCCAGCCTGACCTGACCGGGCTTGGCCTCCACCAAACAGTAACATTGTTGTCCAGCTTTGCAGCTTGACAGGCCACTCGCCTCAATTTCCTTCTGACTGCACCGAACTAAGGTCTGCACCCAACTGTCTCTCTCACCGACTATCAACGCTTCTCTCCACCGTGGTTTTTCGAAATCACTGCTCAGCCAAATATAGCCGACTGCTCCTTTCTTCTCCATGAATTTCTTCCCAACCAAACACGCGAGAGCTCAATCTGGGATCGATGTGGTGTCGCTCTGCCTCCCTCCTGAACAATTCTCTGGCTTGGGGGAGTGTCTCAGCTCTACGAAAGCGGATTCCAACAAACTGACCGTCGTTCAGTGTGAGGAGAGCCCCGTATGCAGTTGAGGAAGTGCCCCAGTGCAAGCCAGCAAAGGTGCCGTTGGGCTCACCAGGGATTTTCCAAACAGCGTAAAATCGAACGTCCTGATCCAAGTGATAGAAAGAAGGTAGCAGATTCAACTGTCCACGATAATGAAAAGCATGTCCAGGGATGCCAACTGGGATCACAGTGTAACACTGGGGGCGCTGGAAGAAAGGTGCAACTGACTCCTCTCCAGAGCTCCCTGATTCCGTTTCAGCAGTCCCAGGCTCAGGTTGTGGTTCAGGTGTCGGGGTACTATGGCGTCGCTCAAAGAGGATCCTACGCACCCACCTGAAACAGAACATCTACAGCCAAGATTCTGCGATCATTCGCAACATGGTTGAATCATATATATATATATGTTGAATTACGATGGTGTGTCCCTTTTTGCTGTTTTGGTCCTAGCTCGACTTGTGACTCATGAACCCCGCTGTCAGGGAAGCATGAGAAGTTCAAACTGGCAGGACGGGACGCGCATGTTTGACTGCGATGAAAGAATGCACGTGCATTGTTGAAACAAGCATTGGCCAACAAACAGATACCTTTGGCCGATGGAGCATGACTCACAAGCAATAAGCAAGTCAAAAGCTTGTGACGACATTCCTCCGAAAACATGTTTCACAGCGGAAAGGGTCAAGACTTGAAGCGAGATGAATGGTTGTTAGTGCAAAGTGTTTGCACAAAGATGAGCAGAATACAGACACGGAGTTGGAAGTTCTTCCTGTGTAGTGATAATGTATGTCAACGAAGTATGGCTTTAGCTACCTGAGTTTGCAAAGCTTAAGCCATAGGTGAAGTCCTCCCACAAGCCTTGACATTTGGCTTACATATACAGAGGGTCAGGTGTTTCCTTGACTCTCGATTGGCAGTTTTGGTTTGCATAGCTGCCCATCGCCTTCTCTTGGATCTTGTTTTGTCTTTCTTAATGTGGCTGAACTGCGTCTACTGTAGTACCAATGACATGCACAAACTGTAGCGGTCATGATTCGTGATGTTGAATTGGACGGTCAGTGCGACTAGCGGAACTGTTTGATGTTGAGATCATCTCGGTTTTGACCGTGATTAGGACTATTGTTTGTGTTTGTGATGTACTTCAACCGGCTCTCGGGGGGAGGGCTCCCAGCATTGGCATTTGGCAATAAATATATGCATGAATGAAGGTATAGTATAAATGTGTATACAGTATATTACAGTATATATATACACAATGACAAAGTGCTCAGCTCGTCACATGTCAGGCGCAAATGCTGAGTGCCGATGAAGCTATGCTGGGAAGCATTCCAGATCGAGAAGCTCCTTTGCCCTACATCCCTAAGGCAGGGCCTTGTGATTCATTCTTGATTGTGGACAACTACCATGCATTTGAGGGGATGCAATAACAAGCCTCAACCCACAGTTTTCCTTTTCATTGGCTTGACTGTATCATGAGTTTCAACACATTCGAGTGTTTCTGTGTGTACAAGAGCTTACAATGCTGAGTCAGTCTATGTGTCAAGGGTTGATCTGAGCGAGACCGGCAGGCTGGACTTTGTTTGCCTCAGCAGAGACCCCGAGTGAACGCGTGGCCCAAGCTTGTTTTGCTAGCGTTTGGTGTTGCTGTTGTATGGTGTTTGTCCTACAATGTACACGAGAAATATGAACAGCCAGGTATGACGACTTGATTTTGCACCACCCTGCTGTTCCGCGTGCCTGCTCACCTCTAATGCAGGCTAGCGGAATGTTTGATTGACGGACAATTTTACAACTGCTGGTCGACACTGTAGACATGGGCTGCCTTCCACGCATGCCGAAGTGCTGTCCAAAGCTTTGCAGCTTGCAGAGAGGGAGATCCCACCACAGCCACAGATTTTTTAAAAGTGGCCGTGGGCTGCAATTGCAGTGCAGTTTCAGATGTCAGGTATGTGGTTGCTTGCTGCCCAAAAATGAATCTCATGAACAAACATATATATATATATATATATATAAGTAGAAGATCCTTTCTGACGGCAGAGAATAGAAGTATGTTTTCTTGTGAGAGTGTTCTCGAGATTTGGAAATGTTCCAAAAACCCTCGCTTCTACAGCCAGGTAGGCTATATGTCCATCCACTTGATTCCAAAGTATTCAAACTACGTATAACTTTCATGGATCTCAACACCAGTTGAAACATGCTGGAATTATGAGTCCCAGGAACAGAGATTTGAGGTCCTTGGTGAGGCATGGCACATCATGGCACTGTAGTTCCAAGCCAAAGGCACATGCAAATTGGAATGTGCATTATTTGATGCAGTCAAAAGCGTTTTGTATTGATGAAGAAGCACACACACACACACACCTTGTATGGATGTATATAAGTGAAACTGGCCAGGCCTACCCGCGCTCATTCACAGTGAGCCCTCCCCAGTCTTATGCGACGGTCTAAGTGGTGGGGCTTAACGGATGATGCTGTCCAGCACTTCGTTGTTTCCCTCCTGAGGTTGTCAGACCGCAGTATCCAAACTCTGGCTACATTGACTCATTCATCCCTTCGGCAGCGCCTGCACCTGGGCAAGAACCTGGATTAACACTCTCATGTGCTATGATAGATCCATAGTCTGAAAGGATGCTTCAAGGACAGACGTTTCTCATCAGGAAGAGTTGAGTACACAGTATATATATATATATGTATGATTATCAGCGCTGAGCGCTGCTGGTGAAGATAGGCTCAGTTGGGTACTGCTTTTGGTCCTCAGATAGCGCCACATTAGGTGCCTCCTGACGCTTGTTGCCTAAAGGCTTACAGATTGTGCTTGGAGGTCGTCGCCACGCCTCCGTACGATGGGTGGCCAGATGCACATTCTCAGGCACTTCCAATCTCAAATAAAATGTCCTGCTTGCTCGGAAGAGACATTTGGCAAGATCACAACTTGGATTCTGTTCAGATGCGTTCCTTGCTTTTGTTTTCGCCTTGGTTCGCTTGAATGCTTTGTCGTGTGGCTGTCATCAAGGCATCCGCTGCAGCTTACCCATCGTATGATCGAAGCTATCCAACCACCTCAGGCAGTCGGGTGGAAACACCACATGTGACTATCATTGTTTCGCAGAAGTTCCATGATACTTTACATCTTGGAATGTCTTTGCTGCATTGATGTGTCAGACTCAGTCATGAAGACACCTGTGCGCTTGCCAGGAGGTTCTAGCTCAAGCAGCATCACGGCAGGAAATGAAAAAGTACCTGCCTTGGGGGCAATTGGCTTGTCACTGCGAGAAACCAGGAACCCAGTAATTTGTGGGCATATTTGTTTGCTATTGTTTGCTGCGACCAAAGCGCGTTCAGGTTGAGACCATGCCGAAATATCTTGGAGGTGCTGTGTGCTTTCGGTGCAGACACTGAGTCACCTAGAAGAGGCCAAGCAAACTTCTCAGTTTGTGGATCTCACCCTTGCAGGTGAGCAGACCAACGCCGGATGGAGAAGTGTATCTTAGACCTGATTCCAGCAAATACAACATCGATGAACATCGGGCTTTGTACCACGAAGTGAGTCTATAGGTTTATAATGTGGCGGTATTTCTATAGTCGCAACATGTCAACATGTAGCAGCTTATTGAATCTTCCGGTTTTGGCAGACTGTCAGATTGTGCACTGAAACACTTTTCAGGCTTCAGTCCCATCACCGAAAGCACCGCCAATCCGCTCTTTGGCCAAAGCCTTGGTGAGGGATGCCCTTAGGACTGGTGCATATTAGCATATCATGCGGCAGAGCTTCTTTAGAAGAGATACTGCCTTATTGCTGTAGAGGTTTGCCCTTGTGCAATCCTGGTTTGTTGTTTCCCCAAAAATCTAGGAACCAAATGAATAGCGTGAGCTATCCTGCGTCCATATGTAGTAGCTACTTAAGCTACTAATTAAGCTACTAATTAGCTACCTAGCTTCTACTGGCTACCTCTAGCTACTACGTCGCTCTACGGCCTACCCCTCCCCCCAAAAAAGTAAAAACACTCAGGTAACATCTGCACCGTCTCCCCTGGAGCCAGAGTGGCGAAGTAGCGAGGCGGGTAGTGAAAAAGAAGCCGTTTCTGTGGCTTCAAATTTGGTGGCATTCTTTTAAGATTGGTCAAGGTCATTCAGCATTCGGGAGCTAGAGTCATTTGAGATCATTTGATGATTTGTTCATTAACCCACATTGCTGACATCGAACCAGGTTTGGTCACGTGCAAGCCCTGCACCTTGCCCTTTGGGCCGGGATCTCGAGGATGTTAGCTGCGCAGTATAAGGTATGGAAGGTAGTGTGGTTGACACAGTCAACTGCACACCTGGCACATTCCTTACTCTTTCAAGTTCAGCTTTCAAAACACGGTTGAGTTTGGGAGGATCATCGTTGCGAAGAAATGGAAACATGATCAGCAAGCTATTTGTCGGATCAGCAAGCCAAGGATGTACCATAGGGCGTCTCCGCGAGGCAGGGCGCGTTGGTAAGGGATTGCGTTTTGTAACGTTCTCTTCAGAATGCGCGCGGGGCAGGTCCAACCTGGATTTACAGCAGCGACTATGGCCCCGGCACAGGTCAGGGTTGTAGAAGGTGATGAGCCATGAATTGTGACTGAAACGCTGGGGCTTTTGCAAAAGCCTTAGAGAGCTGGGAAGAAAGAACCACACAGACCAGTAAGTCACCAAGGTGGCTGCTGCCTCCGGATATCCTACTCAAACTTCGCCCTGCATATCGCCGTGTGCAACGCCGCAATCTCCATGTGCTCCAGCTGCAAAATGAGAATTAGTAAGCTTCGTCATTTTATCAGCTTGATTTCGTGGGTCAAACTCCAACCTGTCAGACCTTGCCTAAGCTCACTTAGTTTGCATGCTGTGTGGCCTTTTGGCCCCTGATGTTTGACAAATACACACGTCGCTATTGTGCAAATCCAAAGGATTTGCCACGATTTTCCTGTTGATTGTTTGTTTTCATAAGGCAGAGTACTTGGCCTTGCGGAAGCACAGGCAGATCCGTTCGCATCGTCACTGCAAGGTTTGTCGGGGTTTTATGTTGTTTTTTCAACCCGTTGCTTCATACATGATGCGTGCCTAGGCTAACTAAACGATCAGGACGCTCTTTTTGACCTATCAGTAGCAAAAAACACTCTTGTTAATACTGGAACCCAGTTGCACCACTTGTTGAAAAGTAGCAGCTCAACGCAGTGGGAACGTGTTTCGTGTCGCGACATTGTGGGGAGAATGTATCAGGTGGCTGGATTAAAAGGTTCCATACCCGGTTACCCAAGTTCTAATAGCTTCTTTGTTACTACTAGTAAGGCACCTGTTACTACTAGCGTGGCACTTGTTACTACTAGCGTTACCCGGTTACCCAAGTTCTGCTCCAGTCCTTTGGTGATTCCAACAATTGTGTTTACATACGGGTGACGCTCTGACACTTCATTCAGGTGAATTCCGATGGACTGCACATTGTGGATTTGTGTGGGTTTGCCCTTCTTACAGTAGCCCCCCAAAGCCGATTGATCACAGAGTCGCAGACCATCAAATCAAACCCTCCTGATGCCTTTTTTTTTTGTGTGTGTGTGTTGTCTCATTGACATAACGACAAAGAACTAAATTTTCTATAACATCGTATAACCTTCCATCGTCCTTAATCAAGTCTAGGGCGAACATGGGCGAAGGTCGAAGGTGATATCAAGTCAACTCGCTACCACTCGTTGTGAAAAGGGAACAAATTGCAAGTTTGTGAGGCGCAGACTGGGTCAAGATCTGTGTTGCACTGAGTGGCAAAGTCTGTTGTGTGTTGGTTCAAGAGCTGGTGCATCGAACTGCAGTTCTACGTGTTCCATCAGCTTTACAACGAAATGTGACAAGGGTTGCAGGAACCTTGCAAATCGAGAAAGAGATTAGTGACTAGTGCCGCCGTTTGCAAAATCGAAGAACCTGCCAAGGCAACTGTGCTCCCGCTGTACACAGCCCCATCTTCACCCTGTCTATCGCCGTGCGCAACCCCCCAATTGCCATGTGACTCATTTGCAAGTGGTGTTTCATTACTGATGAAGAGAAAGATGTGTAGGCCGTTTGTGTAGGCCAAGAGGATTCAGACTATCAACACGCTGAGCCTTTGACAATGTCAGTTCTTGTGTGCTTGTCATGCAAGCGCATTCTGTTTGATGAGAAACTGTGAGGTAAACCGGAGTTCTATGTGGATGCACAGGCGCTTAAAATCTTGAACCGTTTTCTTGCACATTGTTTTTCGGCTCCCTGTTTTTTTTCACCCTTGAACAATGTGTGTTTCACATTTCACACCCTTTTTTTCCCACCCTCGAAACCTTTCTTTTCACCCTCAAGACTCCCTTTTTTCACCACTCTTTGGAATCTTTTTTTCCACCCTTCTAAAAACCTTTATTTTCACCCTGCACCCTATCATTTTCACCCTGTAGCATGTTTCTTTCACCCTTCACCTTGTTTTTTCACCCTTCGCCCTTTCTTTTTCACCCTTGACCCTTTCTTTTCAACCCTGCGCCGGTGAAGCAGGTAACCCCTGGACCTGCACAGAGAACGATGTCACCTCCGGTTTGTTTCACACCGCTTGTTTGCACCCGCCAAACCCTTGTTTTCACCTCAAGAACTTCTTGTTACTAACCCTTCGGAGCCCTCCGGAAACTGCGCAGAGACTGTCCGGAACGACGGGAACCGCCGGAAACTGACCCGCACGCCTCCATAACGTGAGGCAGCGCAGCATCCATCCATCCATGCATCCATCCATCAACGGAGTGCCAACCAACCGACCAACCAAGCAACTGCTTAACCAATCTAACTCGCTAAAACCAAGAAACACCGAGCAAAGCAAGCACCGCCGATAGGCGGAAATCACAACAAGTAAATGAAAGCAAGCGACGCGAAGCTAGCGGGGTTTTTGCGCAAATGAGCTGACATCGATGCCTGCGGCTCGTGTCCTTCAAATCTTCAAGCGACAACATGCGAAACTGACCAATGCCTTCATGAAACGGCAAATCTTTCACATCCCAAAAGGGGAATGTTGGTCATGTTTCACACGGGCAGCTCTCCGTTCTCGCTGCCCTCTGCGAATTTGAGATCGTCTAACCTCTTCTGCTGCATCTTCTGGTGTGGAAATCAAGCAAACAAAGCCGTCACGCTTCAGCTGACCTAGGAGAACGTCCTTCATACTCTTCGTCAGGGCGTCTGCCAGCTGCTTGAAAGTTGGAACCCACCTGAGTGACATCAGTTTTTCTTCGATCATCCGCTTGGACATGAGAAAATCTAAAGCTGTTTGCCTTTCTTGTGCCATGTGTCCTGTGGTGTGACAATGGTCGTATATTGCACGGGCATCCGTCACAAGGTATCCTGGTACTTGCAAGGTCTCTCGCCAGGTTCCATCGGTTTTGAACTTTCCGAACCGAAGGGCATCATAAAGCAAACGGTTGTACAGCTGATGGTCTGCGCCCTTGGTGAGAGCGCAACTTTCAGCTGCCATGCTGCTTCTGACAACAAGCGAGATCTTGTTTGAATGAAACTCCAAAATGTTGGCGACACGTTTCTCCTGTAGTGTTCTGGAATCTGTCAACAGATGGATCTCACCAGACTGAGCAATGCCATTTTTCTTTCCCAAAGCAGCATCGAAGTATGTGACAAAAAGAGGATGACCTTTCAGTGCCCTATATGTCAACTTTGCATCACCACATTTGGCAGCTGCATGCATCTCATCTAAAAGGGTGTTGGCCTCCTTGACATTCTCGTGTGTTGCACAACTCACGGCCTGTGCCAATGCGCTCACACGAAACATGTACTCTGGAAACACGTGCTGTATTGGCCAGCGCATTCTCATCACCAGCTGCCGGTAGCTAGTGAGTGCCTTGCCATTCAGCTTTCCTTTTGGAATCTCATTCATGTTGATGGGCTGGATTTTCAAGACATAATCGGTCATGTCATCAATGATCTCGTTTTTGGCAGCGTCATGTTTCACCTTCATCCCTAAGTAATCTACTCCTTTCATGTCTAAGCTTTCCCAGCTTTTGATTCGGAAATTTTGGTCAATCTTTTGTTTGAGCTCTTTGAACTGGGGTTTGCGAGGGTCACCGACCAAGAACCCATCGTCTACATGTAGTCCACAAAAAGCAAAAACTCCTGAATCATCTTGTGCCACGAAAGTGCTTCGACAGAAAGAAATCTCTTCCATGCCAACCTGCTGTAGGAGCTCCACTGCACAGAGATACCAGAGGCGTGGTGCCTCTGCCAATCCGTATGCACTCTTGATCACGGGCATCAACCCGAAGGGGCTGACGGCTGGTGAGGTTTTCGTAGGTGGGAGCCCCTGGGCCGGTGCACGAACATACACCAAACGTTCTGTGTTCTTTCCGCTGAGAAACGCGGTTGCCACATCGAAGGTGTAGCACAGCCAGTGAAGGCTCACACACAAACTCTTCATCATGCGAATGGCTGTTGGTGTGGTTGTGGGGCTATTTGTCCGATAGTCCCCTATTGCCGGGTCTGTATGGCCCGGTACCACCAACCTGCTCTTGGCCTGGATGACTGCTGGATCTTTCGATTTGTTCACTCGAATCATACGGAGTGGTGTCCTAAAAATCTGACTTGAGGGGACCTTTGATGCCTCTTCAGGGGTCAGACGCTTGACGACCCCGTTATCGACCCACGCTTCCCATTCTTTCAAATCCGAGTCCTGAAAGGCAGCTGCTTCTTCCTCATTGAACCACTTAGGGTCTAGCTCTTTTCCTGAGGCCTTTAACTTCAGTAGGAGCACCTCTCGGTACTTCTGCCATGTCTTTTCTCTTTCGACCAGCTCCTAGGCTCCTGCCATCTTTTGCTTTCTTCCTCACTTTCAAAGGTCTTTTGGTAGACTACATCGCCGATCTGGATGTATGCTTCTGTTGGTGCTTTCTCCATCTTTGTCTCCTGCTCCTTGATGAACAGTGTCATGCCCCGCCACAAGGCTGAGCATCTGTTCCTTTTGACTTCAGTCTTCTTCTCATCTAGGATCATTGCATTCCCCGGTTCTTCGAGCAGCATCAAACTCACTCTTCTCTTTTCTTCTTGTCGGGGATGCCTCTGCAGTTTCTTCCTTGGTGCTCTATGCAATCGGGCGGCAGAGATGGGCAAATCTAGCAATCGTCGTAGTTGCCTCAGCTCCCCTCTTTTGAGCCATTGATTGGCCCGGCCCTGTTCTTCTTCCTTCATGACTTTCTTTCGCAGCTTTCCTGTCATCATCTGGTCGCTGACCATCACCTCAAGTTGTTGGAATAGAGTTCGTGGAACTTTCATCTTTGGCTCTTCATCGTTTTCTCCTGGTTCCTTTCTTTTGATGCAGATTGGAACATCATCCAGGAGACTTCTTCTCTTTTGCACTTGCTCCTTCTTCCTTTCATCATCTTCTTTGGCATACGCCTCCTCTTGTTGGGTCACTTCTTCCAAAAACTTCTGGATTTCTTCCTCCGTCATTCCTTCTCCTGGTTCAGTAGGTTCATACTCTTCCTGTTCTGGCGGCCGGGTCCTTTTCTCAAACTCTTCATATTCTTCTGCAGCTTGTCTCATGATCTCTTCATCCTTCTTGCTCGCAGGTTTCTTCTGTCTTCTTGGCTTGTGATGCCTCTCCTTTTGAAACTTGGATTGTATCAATCTTCTGACACCACGAAGCCCCTTCAGCATTTCCACGGCCTGCCTCTTCGTTCTTCCTTTTCTCTTTCCTGTCTGAATGACGTCTTCTTGAGCCTCCCAACCTTTATCCTTATCTGTGTCTTTGGCTGGTGGCTTTATAGTTGTAAGATCCTCATAGGTCTTATCTTCCAACACCTGGTCTTCGAGGTCTTCAAGTCCAGCATTGGCATTCTCCTCCAAAGTGACTCCTCTCATATTGATTGCTGCCAACAACAGACAACGAGCCCTCCAGGAACAGAAGTATTTCTCGTGGCTCTCCTTGGTGATGACCACAGCTGGACCTCTCCATTCTCCTTGATCCCTCCTATATCGCCCTTTTCTGGCTCGAGGAACCCAAAAGTAGATTTTTTCGCCGGGTAGAAATTCACGGATCTGACCTCCCGGCTTCCGAACCAGGGCATTCTTCAGCTTCTGTTGTGCATCTTTGTGTAGGAGTGCCCTTTTTGCCAAAGATCTCATTTCTGCCTGCCTTGCAACTTCCGTGTCTGTGCTCAAAGCTTGGCCCAGGGCCGTCGAGGAGATAGCATCATCTTCCAGTAGATCTGGGAGCACTGACTGCCGACCAAAGACCAGTGCATTCGCACTGTATCCTCTTCGGGTCACCACTTGGTTCTTGGCCTGGATGGCGCACATGAGGGTCACTTTCATCCCATTCCGGTCTTGCACTTGATGTTCAAAAACCAATGCACTCCAAGCTATGCCCAGTAGAGCCCCATGTCTCTCTGTGTGACCCAATTGCCAAGCAGCGTGTGATCCAGTGAACTTTGTGCCGACTGCATGATGTTCAAGGAACAAAATGAACTCCGCCTCCCATTCACCTCCTTGATCTAATGAGATCCAAGTTGGTATCCCAAACATTGCCACCCACTTGGAAAGGAATTTCTGGGCGACATGTCCAGGGTTCCGGCTTCTCAAAAGAACTGCCTGGTGATAGTTGGTGGCAAGGTCCACCATGTTCAATGCAGCATACCTCTGACCGGAACAGTCGTTGATGAACTTGAGGTCAATACCGATGTTCTCATTGAAGACGCATGGTCGAAGATCACTTCTCTGACTCATTGGCCTGCTTGGAATTGGCCCTGCACCACAAGTGTCACACTTCAGTTTCATGGCTGCATCTTGTAGCCACTTGTCTGCGCCTGCCATCTTCAGCATCCGGCTTAAGACTTCATTGGATGGGTGTCCCAGTCGGCGATGAAGCAGATCTAGTTGTTGATGTTTGCGACTATTTGCGACTTCTTTGTTCTTCTTCATCGTCCTCATATCTTCCAACTTCTTCATCCTCCTCTTCCAAATCTTCCATGGCCTCTAACCGCTCTTCTGGGAACGTCTCATTGACTATGAATGTCTCTTGCACCCGACCTTTCTTCAAATAGTCTTCTGCTCCTCGAAGGACTCGTATGGCAAAAGCTCGAGTGTATCCACCTGCAAACTCTGAAAGTGCTTGCCATTTTCCTTTGATCTTGACACCACCCAAAACGGGTGTGTGTTGATGGTGTTTTCCATCGCACTTCCGACTGCAGT